ACTTTGTACCGGCGTCTATCCTTCAAGCTTCAAGATATCTACGTACCGCTTGGTGCTCCTTCTCTTTTGGGTCATTTGGTCGGTCAATTGAAAACAAGGTTCTTGAGTATGTTAGGTCTGACATTTTGTCTTGCATTATCCACCCCTCTCCTTGCGGAGAATTTAGGATAGTGCCTGACCAGATTCCCACCGCCCAATGGGAACCGGTATTGTTTTACGGTTATCTCACCACGAGTCCCCAACCTTCATGTGCATCGCACATTTGACCAAAAGGATTGCTGTGTCTATATTTATGCTTCGTTTCCGTTTTCGTGTTGGTATGTATGTAAGGTGGCCAATAACCTTCTACTCTTGCTTACTTTTGCGTTTTCAACTGTGGAAGAAAAAAAAAAAATAATAATAATAATAATAAAAACAAAAATGGTCAAGCGTCTGGAAATGTATTTCGTTGGATTCAATTATTTCATATCTGGCTTGTCATGTTTGTGTTACGTTATGAGAAATGAAAAGTCGGTTAGGTCAATTATTTCATATCTGGCTTGTCAGGTTTGTGTTACAGAATGGAAAATAAAAAGTCGGTTAGTTCAGTTTTTCCATGTCTGGCTTGCCAGGTTTGTGTTACAGTATGGGAAATAAAAAGTCTGTTAGTTCAGTTTTTCCATGTCTGGCTTTTCAGGTTTGTGTTACAGTATGGGAAATAAAAAGTCGGTTAGTTCAGTTTTTCCATGTCTGGCTTGTCAGGTTTGTGTTACAGTATGGGAAAATAAAAGATCGGTTAGTTCAGCTCTTTCATGTCTGGCTTGGCGGGTTTGTGTTACGGTATGGGAAAATAAAAATTTTGGTTAGTGCAATTATTTCATGTCTAGGGGCTGGTGGCTTGTTTTACAGCGTCGGTGCCACTCGACGCCAACCTATTCAAATTTTGCGAACAGGGGCAGGGGGGGGGGGGCTGCCCCAACGGGGGTTGTAATGGCCCCCGCTGCCTACCATATGTTTTACATGGTAAGCAAATTTTATTCCCTGACTCCATTGTTGGACCTACTGATCTCATACTGCTGTAACGGAAAAAAATCACCTGGGTTTTCATCTAAACCAAACAAACCTACAACGGCCACGTAAACCGTCAAAAACGTGCAAAAAAAACTGCCTGTGAATGATTCCACTTTAGCAACCGCCTGTCCAATGTCCAACCTTTCACATGGCATATCATGTGGAAAAAGTACACTTTTGTGCCCTAACAAAGCAAGGTCTGTCGGTGCGGCGCTTGTCATGGAATGCAGGAGCACCTGGCTGATTTCTGTGAAAAAAATTAAATACAACATCCATCGAGAGGGCTGTCTACTGTCTACCCTTTGAAAACCGCTGA